TAAGCATCTACAAGCTATCAGGCAAAGGACTACACTAGTTGATGAATGGATACAAATCCTAAGAATACTCTTGAAATTGAAAAGAATACTCTTGAATACTCTAAGAAAAAAAAATATATATATATATATTTTTTTTTTTAAATTTCAGGAAGGAATAAAAAGCCCTCCTGATTGTGGTTTAATTGTGGTCCATAGAAACAGCTCCTTTTGGCTGTTGTGTGTTCAGATGTCTCCAGTTCTGTTGTTCTAAAACAACATTAATAGAGCACATTCAGAAGGATTAATTGAGAATAAGCCATGGAGATGGAAAAAAATGTGGAGTAAAGCACAGTTCTGAATGAGTACTTGATAAGATTGAAGTTATTGGCAATAAGGGAATCACTTTATGTAGGGGCAAATGAATCGACTATGATTTTAACCTAAAGTACCACTATAGGGGTTGTAAAATTCTTTCTACTTGGATAAATACTCTCTATTTGAATTGCAGCTTGCATTGAGAATGCAATAAAGAAAAACCTAACTTAACAAGACACTATGACCACAAAAAAGGAATTCTTTGTTAGGCAGTTGAAAGACTGACCACCAGAACTGAAATAGAATTAGAATACAGTTTGCAAATAACTTATTTAAAGGAGAGTAGAGTTCAAAAGAAATTAGTATGGACAAAGACCTGATGAGACATATAATAGGTGAGAAAGTGGGCTACAGAAAAAAATAACTTGACGATTGATCATTGGACAGACTAGATCCTCAACAAATCTATGAGAAAGAGCCACTGTGCATGTTTGCATCATGCCGAACTGAATACCAACACACACCTAGTAATTACTGATTTGTTGAATGAATGAAGTAGTGAATAAATGACCCAAACCTAGAATGCAGTTCGTGGTTGGGGTGTCAATCCATATGCTGACCAGCCATTCTCTGTGCTCCAGCTTTAGTTTCAGGGGACATATAAAATCCAGAACTGTAGCAAGACTCCATAGCTTTGAGAGCTCTTAAAAACACCAACATAAGGCAAAGAAAGGTGTGGAAGACTGGAAGATAGGGGGAAACAGAGAACCTAAAAGAGTCAGGGAGGAAAACTTAAAAAAAAAAAAAGAATTTGAAACAGGTTCAGAGGTTCCAAATGGACTTCTTAAAAAGTGAACACTCTGTCTCTATGCATTTGGCTACACCAGTTACCTTAAATAAGTAGAATCATACAATATTCTACCTTTTGTGTTGGCTTATTTCACTTAGCATACTGTCCTCAAGGCCCATCCATGTTGTAGCATAGGTCAGAATTTCCTTCCCTTTGAAGTCTGAATAATATTGCATTGTATGTATCACATTTTGCTTATCCTTTCATCTGTTGATGATACCTGTTGATGGACACTAGAATTGCATCCACATTTTGGCTTTTGTAAATAATGATGCTATGAATACTGATGCGCAAATATGTGTCCAAGTCTTATTCAATTATTCAGTCCTTTTCTTCAAATCAGTTGGGTACGGACCCAGAAACAGAATTGATGGATCGCATGGTAATTCTATGTTTAATGTGTTAAGGATAAATCATAGTATTTTTCACAGTGGCAGCACCCTTTCTATTTCTACCATCAATTAACAAGAGTTCAAATTTCTCCATACCCATAACCAACACTATTATTACTTCCGGTTTTGTTATTATTATCAGCCATCTTATTGAGTATGAAAGGATGTCTCATCGTGGTTTTGATTCGCATTTCCAAATGACTAGTTATGTCAAACACTTTTTCATGTGCTCATTGTCTGTATATATGTATGGGCTTTGACATAAATTTATATCTAAAGATATGAAAAACAATTATCTAAATTTTTTTCTACTTTATTGCTTTATGCTTAAAGCTATGTAAATTTTGCTGTGATCTACAAGGAACTCATCTAATATTTTCTACTCATTTTGTAGTATCATTATTAATTCAAGTATTGTTTTTAAAGTTAACTATTAATAGAGCATCATTTATTAAGGTTACCTCCATTTATACTATCAGTATAACAGTAGCACTTTTTTCATATAAAAACTCTTATATAGAAGATTTGTTTCTGAACTATATTAGGATTCTGTTGGATCTTATACCTTGATTTCATTAAATACTAAAGAATTACATTATTTAATTCAGTATAAGTAACAAAACCAAATATAAAAATCTTATGAAAATTGTCCTCTACTACCATGAATAATAATGTAAATTCCTAAATAAAATACCACAACATCTAATCCACTTATATATCAAAAGAATAAGCCAAGTAAGATTTGCTCCAAAAATGTAGAGGTATCTAACATTTAATACCCTATCAATAAAATATGTTACATTGTTATATCAAAATGGAACAAGATAAATCTCTAGAATCTGAACTAATAAAATGGAGTTACATAATTCACCTGACATAGAATGTGAACAACCCAGCTCACAGCTTCCCCCTGGAGAGGAAAGGAATTGAACACAGTATCCAATGATCCAATTATTCGAGGAGGGGCCAAAGGAATGGGATTCAGTTTCACTTCTCCCAGTGCATTGATGAGACATTAGATGCCTAAGGATTGCAAAAAACAAAAAACAAAAACAAACAAAAAAGAAACTGAGTTAGACTACCAAAGACAGGAGAGGCCCACCAAAATTTCTGGCTGGGCTAGTTGTTGGAGGGCCTTCAACCGTATAAGATCAATCTGGTAAGACTAAGAGAGGTGGCCACTTTTCTAATGTGGAAAAAACAGTACAGAGTCAAAGAAAATGAAAAATCAGGCAAAGATTTTCCAAATAAAGGAACAAGATAAATCTCTAGAAACTGAACCTAATGAAATGGAGTTACATAATTTACCTGACAGAATTCAAAAGAACAGTCATAAAGATGCTTACTGAGTTCAAGAGAACAATGTACACAAGAAACAAGAATTTCAAAGAAAGTAAATAAATATTAAAAAATAAATCACAGTGCTGAAGAAAATAATTGAACTGAAAAAATTCACTAGAGGGATTCAACAGTACACTAGGTCAACCAGAAGAAAAAAAAAATAGTGAACTCAAAGATAGGTTGCTGAAATAATCCAATCCAAGGAACAAAAAGGAAAAAAAGAATGAAAAGGAATGAAGAAAACGCAAGACTAATAGGACACTACAGAGCAGAGCACTATACACATTAAAGGGTCTCAGAAGGAGACGAGAGGAAAAGTAGCATAGAATTAATGGCTGAAAACTTCCCAAACCTGGCAAAAGAAATGGATATCAAGATTCAAGAATCCCAAAAGACAAAGGGGGAAAAAAGAATACAAAGAATTCCATACTCAGCCATATTATAATCAAATGTCAAAGTTACAAAGAGATTTTTGAAAGCAGCAAGAAAAAGGGGACTTATCACATACAAGGGAATTCCCGTAAGACTATCAGATTTTTCAACAGAAACCTTGCATTTTCAGAAGGAAGTGGGATGATATTTTCAAAGCGCTGAACAAGAAAAAAGCCATCCCAGAATATTATGCTAGTCAAAATTCTCCTTCAAAAATAAAGATTTTCCCAAAGAAAAGCTGAGGGAGTTCATCACCACAAGACCTGCCTTTCAAAAATGCTAAAAGCAATTCTCTCAGTTAAAATGAAAGGTTGTTTTATAGCAACACAATAGCATAAGTAAGTATGAAACACTTCATACCTGTCAGAATGGTTAATATCAAAATACAAGAAACAACTGTTGGCGAGGATGTGGAGAAATAGGAACTCTCTTGCAATATATATATATTTTTATATGCAATATATATATATATAATGGCTGAGTAATATTCCTATATATATATAGGTCATAAAAAAAAGCATGAAATCTTGCCATTTGCAACAATGTGGATGGATCTAGAGGGAATAATGCTAAATGAAATAAGTCAGAGAATGACAAATACCATATGTATTCACTCATATAAATTCACTCGTATGTGGAATTTAAGAAACAAATGTAAAAAGGACAAGAAATAAGCCATCCCAAAAAATAGACTCATAACTCTAGAAAACAAACCGATGTTTACCAGAGGGGAAGTAGGTGGGGGACAAGTAGAAATAGGTAAAGGAGATTAAGAATACACTGATCATGATGAATACTGAGTAATATATGGAATTGTTGTCACTGTATCGTACACCGGAAATATAATACCATATGTCAATTATACTGGAATTAAGATTTTTAAAAAGAAAAATAGAGAATTCTATATTCTTCTAATGGTGGTGGGTAAATCACTTTTAAATCTTATATAAACATTAAAGGCTAAAGTATTAAAAATAAGTATAACAAAAAATGAGAAGACATACACAATAATAATGCATATAAATTGTGACAATTATAAAAAGGTGTAGAAAGAGGAGTTAAAGTGTAGAAATTTTGTGTGCAGTTGAACTAAACCGGTTATCAGTTTAACACAGACCATATATTAAAATAGACTGGATAAATACATAGAGAGAGACTGCAATTTAAAATAGTTATAAATATCAGATATTTTATGTAAAAGCCAGGGAAACCACATACACACACATACACACACACATACACACACACACTCATACACTCACTAGAAGTTGCACAAAAGAAAAAGGAATCAAAGCATATTAATACAAACAAAACATAACAGAGGAAAAGACAGACAAAATGAATAAAAGACTAACAGAAAACTGGGGGGAGGGGCAAGATGGCGGAGAAGGAAGGAGCTCCGTACTTGCACTCGCGCCCATACATCACACGGAAAAGATCTGGAAACCTTACAAAACCTGAGAGATTGGGAGAAAAAGGACGCAGAATCCACTGAGAGAGCCTTCTAACGGGAGTGTGAACTGGGGGAGATAAAATCGGGCCGGGATCGGAGACTCCAGGGTGGGAGGCGATCACCCTCTGCGGGGACTGAGAGGGGAAAAAGAGAGAGTCCGAAACAGAAAAACCTCCGCTCGGGGGGGTGGGGGGGGAACCTCCACTCGGTGCATAGAAAGACCATACTTGCCAAATACCTGCACACCAGGTCCCCTCGCTCCAACTGGTCCCAGGCGGCGGGGGGAGTGGGGGGAAGCTGAGCACACAAACTGCTTCTTTGAGCTGCTCCTGGTGGCTGGACTTCAGAGCAGCGGCGCACCTGCCGCCATTGTGGCTCCCGGGCGGCTGGGGCCCCCGAAAGAGGCGCGCGGACACCGGGCGTCCACGCCCCTGGCTGGCTGGGACTTGAGAGGGAAGGCAAAGAGCTAAAAACTGGGAAATTAGCCTGTGAGTTCCTGTGTCGGGTGACGAGCCATAGAGGGACCCGGTTTTCCTCACTCCAGAGGGCTCGGGCTCCGCGCACCCTGCAGGCAAGCCCCGCCCATGCGCACCAGCCCGACCCAGAGAAGGAAGCAGCGATTCTGACTCCGCCCCCAGAGCTCCGCAGGGGGCCTGGAACTGCCCCGAGGGGGTTGCCTGGGAAGCTGTGTCTAAGGCACTTTCAGCGGGGCGCGCGGACTGGGATTTGGAGACTGGGAGTGGCCTGGGATGAAGAGTGCAACCAGCTTCGGCTGCGCCCCGGGGTCGGGGAGTTTACACGCCCAAAAAAGCGAGGAGCAGCGCTTGGTTCAAGAAGGGACTGGAGCACCGTCACTCTCCTCCCCACAACCGCCAAGGCAGAGCTCCCGCCTGAGGCAGTGGATCCCGCCACGCCCATCCCTGCCTGAGAGGTGCCCTCCTCCCTTTTTTTTCCTCCCCCCCCCCTTTTTTTTTTCCTCTTTCTTTTTTTCTTCTTCTTTCTCTTTTCTTTTTTCCCCAGAACACTGACCTGATTAAGCAAGCTGGCGACCAGAGTTAAACAGTCACAACGAGTCCATTGTGTAAATGTAAATTCTACAGCTAATGACATTTTCAGCTATTTCTCTCAGGAGTAATTAGACTATATAGTTTCTCTGGATAATTCCAGCACCCTTCTCTCACCTATCCAACCATATTCTACCCTTTACCTCTTTGAAAAAAGCTTCTTATCCCTTCTGCCTGTTCATTCTATTTCCAATTGTGTCTCATCCCGCCCTGCTTTCTCTCTGTTTCTCTATGCTCCTCAACCAGCACTGCATACACACGGCTATTTAACTGTAGCTGGGAAATCTGGTTATATGCTTTAAACCGTTCTTTGTCCATCGGTTTTCTTCTTTTTTCCTTTTCCTTTCCCCTTTTTGACCCTTTTATGTATTTTATACTCCCTATTATTCGCCCTCCCTCCTCCATCTTTTCTCTTAACTTTTTCGTTTTCCCTCTCGCTTTGCATGTTAGTTGAATTAGCCTGTGCGTTTGTGTGCTCCTGCTCCCTGTGTGTTTGTCTGTCTGTTTTCTTTTCCAGGGCTACCTCAAGAAACAAGCTAGAGTGCACAAGGTGGAGAGTCCCAAATATCACTACGAATAGGAAAATAAAATAACCAAGGTCCCAACAAGAGAGACCAGGGGATACCATTCAAAAAACACTCTCTGAAAGGGTAGGCCCTGGAAAGTCAAAGAGCCTTCTTGGATATAGCAGTGCTCATAGAAACAGAGAGAATAATAGGTCTTTAAAACCAACAAGAGCCGGAAAGCTAACTAAAATGACGAAACGAAAGACCTCTCCTCCAAAGAAACTCCAAGAAGAAATGACAGCTAATGAACTGCTCAAAACAGATATCAGCAGCATCACTGAACAAGATTTTAGAATAATAATGGTAAAATTAATAGCTGGGCTTGAAAAAAACATAGGGGACATCAAAGAAACTATGGCTACAGACAGAATGGAAAATAAAAATAGGCATGAAGAATTAAAAAATGCGATAAATGAGATCCATAATAAATTAGAGGCCTCCAATGCACGGATTGAAGAGGCAGAAAGGAGAATAAGTGATTTAGAAGACACCATTATAGAAAAACAAGAAGCTGACAAAAAAAGAGACAAACTGATCCAGGAACAGGAAAGAAGAATTCGAGAGCTCAGCGATACGGTCAAACGCAACAATATCCGTATCATAGGAATCCCAGAAGAGGAAGAGAGAGGGAAAGGTGCTGAAGGAGTCCTGGAACAAATTATAGCAGAGAACTTCCCCGACCTGGGGAAGGAAGTAAATGTGGAAGTACAAGAGGCTCAGAGGACTCCCCTCAGACGTAACCTGAATCGATCTTCTGCACGACATATCATAGTGAAAATGGCCAAATACAAGGACAAAGAGAGAATTTTGAAAGCAGCTAGGGAGAAAAGGGCCCTAACATACAAAGGGAAACCTATCAGAGTGGTGACAGACCTATCTACTGAAACTTGGCAGGCTAGAAAGGAATGGCAGGAAATCTTCAATGTGATGAACAGTAAAAATATGCAGCCAAGAATCCTCTATCCAGCAAGCCTGTCATTCAAAATAGAAGGAGAGATAAAAACCTTTCCAAATAAACAGAAATTGAAAGAATTTGTCACCACGAAGCCAGCCCTACAAGAAATCCTGAGGGGGATGCTCTGAAGGAAAGGTTGCAAGGAACAAAGATACCAGAGACACCACCACAAACATGAACCCTACAAAAGATACAAAGACTCTAAACCCACATATTTCAATAATAACACTGAATGTAAATGGGCTGAATGCTCCAATCAAAAGACATAGGGTAGCAGAATGGATTAAAAAACAAAATCCATCAATATGCTGTCTACAAGAAACTCATTTTAGACGGGAAGATACCTTCAGATTAAAAGTAAGGGGATGGAGAAATATATATCATGCTACAGGAAATCAAAAGAAAGCCGGAGTAGCGATACTTATATCAGACAAACTGGACTTTAAATTAAAGACAATCACAAGAGATGAAGAAGGGCACTACATAATAATTACAGGGTCCATCCATCAGGAAGAACTAACAATCATAAATGTCTACGCACCGAATATGGGAGCACCTAAATATCTAAAACAATTAATCACAAACAGAAACAAGCTTATAGATAAGAATGTGCTAATAGCAGGGGACTTTAATACTCCGCTTACAGCAATGGATAGGTCAACCAGACAGAAAATCACTAAAGAAATAATGGACTTGAAAGACACATTGGACCAGATGGATCTGACGGATATATTTAGAACTTTACATCCTGAGGCCAGGGAATTTACTTTCTTCTCAAGTGCGCATGGCACATTCTCCAAGATAGATCACATACTGGGACATAAAGCAGCCCTCAATAAATATAAAAGAATAGAGATCATACCATGCACACTGTCAGATCACAATGCTTTGAAACTTGAAATCAATTACAGGAAGAAGTCTGGAAAACCGCCAAAAACATGGAGGTTAAAGAACACCCTTCTAAAGAATGAATGGGCCAATCAGGCAATTAGAGAGGAAATTAAAAAATATATGGAAACAAATGAAAATGAAAACACAACAATTCAAAATCTATGGGATGCGGCCAAGGCAGTCCTAAGAGGAAAGTACATTGCTCTCCAGGCCTATTTCAAGAGATTAGAAAAAGCACAAGTCCAAAATCTAACAGCTCACCTAAAGGAGCTAGAGGCAGAGCAACAAGAACGCCCTAAACCCAGTAGAAGAAGAGAAATAGTAAAAATTAGAGCAGAAATAAACAACATAGAGACCAAAGAAACAATTGAACAGATCAATGAAACCAAGAGTTGGTTTTTTGAAAAAGTAAACAAAATTGACAAACCTCTAGCCAGGCTTATCAAAAAGAAAAGAGAGAGCACCCAAATAGACAAAATTATGAATGAAAATGGACTTATTACAACCAACCCCTCAGAAATACAAGCAATTATCAGGGAATACTATGAAAAATTATATGCCAACAAATTGGACAACTTAGAAGAAATGGACAAATTCCTAAACACACACTCACTACCAAAATTCACACGGGAAGAAATAGAAAACCTGAACAGACCCATAACGAGTGAAGAAATCGAATCAGTGATCAAAAATCTCCCAACAAATAAGAGCCCTGGACCTGATGGTTTCCCTGGGGAATTCTACCAGACATTTAAAACAGAATTAATCCCAATTCTTCTCAAGCTATTCCAAAAAATAGAAGTCGAAGGAAAACTCCCGGACTCATTTTATGAAGCCAGCATCACTCTGATTCCCAAGCCAGACAGAGATCCAACAAAAAAAGAGAACTATAGGCCAATATCCTTGATGAATACGGATGCAAAAATTCTCAACAAGATCCTTGCAAATCGAATCCAGCAGCATATCAAAAGAATCATCCACCAAGATCAAGTGGGATTCATTCCTGGGTTACAGGGCTGGTTCAACATTCGCAAATCAATCAATGTGATCCATCATATCAATAAAAGAAAAGATAAAAACCATATGATCCTGTCAATAGATGCAGAAAAAGCATTTGACAAAATACAGCATCCCTTCTTAATAAAGACTCTCGAGAAAGTTGGGATAGAAGGAACCTACTTAAACATCATCAAAGCCATCTATGAGAAGCCTTCAGCTAACATCATCCTCAACGGGGAAAAACTGAGAGCTTTCCCCCTGAGATCAGGAACACGACAGGGATGTCCACTCTCACCACTGTTGTTTAACATAGTGCTGGAAGTCCTAGCATCAGCCATCAGACAACAAAAGGAAATCAAAGGCATCAGAATTGGCAAAGAGGAAGTCAAACTTTCACTCTTCGCAGATGACATGATACTCTACATAGAAAACCCGACAGACTCCACCAGAAGCCTACTAGAACTGATCCAAGAATTCAGCCAAGTTGCAGGGTACAAAATCAACGTACAGAAATCGGTTGCATTTTTATACACCAATAATGAAGCAACAGAAAGAGAAATCAAGAAACTGATCCCCTTCACAATTGCACAAAAAACCATAAAATACCTCGGAATAAACCTAACCAAGGATACAAGAGATCTGTATGATGAAAACTATAGAAAACTTATGAAGGAAATTGAAGAAGACACAAAGAAATGGAAAAACATTCCATGCTCATGGATAGGAAGAATAAATATAGTTAAGATGTCATTACTACCTAAAGCACTCTACACATTCAATGC